CTCTCAACTCGGGAGGAAATAGGCCTCATGATAAGGAGCGCCCTTGAGGTGCATTGGAAGATATTGCGAGATGTTTGCACCAAAGGCCACCATCCCTAACAGCCACCAACTCCTAGATTTCATTGCAACTTGTCCTGATCCATTTGTGGAAAGGGGCAAGAATAGGTGGGTGAATGCACCTACGGAGACCAAATGCTGCCCCCCTTTTTGTTGATCCTAGCAAATCAATTATCATCCGTTACGGTGGTCCAGGTGCAATCCTCCCGGTCATGGGTGGGTGGGAAGCTCCCAGGGGTATGGGTTGCCTTTTTTTCAGCACCTGGTCACTTGGGTGCAGGCAGGCTTTGGGCTTAAGAAGATGGAAGAGAACAAATCAGAGAGTGCGTAAAAGGGTTTCCTGCCAGATTGATGCGGGGAGATGAGCATCAAGAAGTAAGGATGTGTTGGGGGCGGTGCGGCACAATCGGGAGCGCCGCGCCGCTCCGCTATCGACATGAGCCAGTTCGTGAGTTGGTGGCGTCTCGTCGGCACGGCTCCCTGCGGGGGAATATTGAGGAGTTGATGTGGGCAACGGGGGTTACGGCGGCAGGCGATGGCGCGAGGTTCCATCGGTGTTTGTTTGGCACGGCCATCAACGGGATGCTTCGGCTGAGGGTTCTTCCACCCTTGATAACCTAGGCTGAAGAGGTCTCTTGCTCCGTGCATCGTTTATGTGGTGTCATGGGTTAACACGCTAGAGGAAGGGGAGGCTGTCGTGGTGACTAGGATAGTCTTCATGAGATCTTGGGCATGGTAGTGGCCCTGCTCCTTTGCCCCTGCACGAATCTAGTGGAGGTTGGTTGGGCAGCGCGGGCAGAAAGTAAGGAGTATCTTCTCATGCGGAGTGGGAGGGAGACTGGTTATAAGCTGGAGCGTCATAAATAGCTGGCCGTATTAGGCGTTCATTTGAGCTGGTTCATCGGTGAAAGACACAGAAGCAGGTATCAGCGCAATAATCGCTCTTCGCTTCGGCTACCTTTTCAAACTGTTTGCAGGTAGCAGCGCAATAATGACAACGGCGATGGAGTAGGAGAATTTTGTGCGAACACGTGAGGTGCTTCTTCGCTCTTCGCTTCGGTTACCTTTTCAAATTGTATTTGCTGACAGCGGTGATGGAGCAGGAGAATTTCGTGCGAACATGTGTGGCGCTCTTCGCATTGGCTGCCTTTTCCAATTGTTTTCGCTGATTTTAATTTTGCATCTTCTAATTTCCTATATTCTTGCTCTAATCTAGTGCTTACACAGTTATAAACTCAGCTTCTCAAATTTGCAAAAATAGACTTACAATTTACCTTCTATTTTCTGATCAGCCAAATTCTCATCTACATGTACACTCATACACACATGTCCTTGAATTTCGACTATAATTTCTAAACGTCCCAAGTGAAGTATTCTCATCTACATGTACAGACATACACACAAAGTTTTATCAGGATTTTCTAATCTTGGAACCCAAAAACTTCGGAATCTCTCCGTTAATTAGTTTGTTGCTTCTCTTAAATTGGTGATACGTGCACATGGTGGGAGCTGCCAAAAAGTTGATTGGCGCAAGGGGCAGGGAAATAATTGTAATAGTCTTACTGCTGCTCTGCGCTTTCTTCAGTGGGTTGTTCTTAAAGATGTAGGGTGTTCTCGGGGGTTATTGCATATTTTTGAAAAGGCCCTGCTTTTCCAAATTGTGGTCGACATTTTGGTAAGTGTGTCATTAAACTGTAGTCGGCTGGATCAGATCGTTCCCGGAGGGCTGAATGGTAAGAAGGGGGTGGGGGGAGCTCCATCTTGCAGGGGCATCACAAGGTGGGGGGTGAGTGTCTCAAAGAGGGTAGGGGCAGAGTAGGAGGTTGCTCTATTCTGGGGCAGGGGCTGGTGTGTGGGTCAACATCAGTCCCAGCGGAGGCAGAAATGGGCAAGGGGTGGGGGGGCATGCTTTAGGTGGGAACTGCGTGCTCCTGGGGAAAGTGCGGTAGAGGGTTGGTCCTATATTGGGGCCGAGGGAGAGCGGGAGACTCGCCTCGGCGGAGGCAGTGTAGGGCTGAGGGGGGAGGGGTAGGGGGAGGGAGGGGCGATCTCTCTCGAAGAATTCTGACAACCAGTCTAGTATTTCTTTCCATTTGGTTCACCTCTCGAGGAGGTTGTAGGAATAGGTGATATCTGGCAAGTCATCTTTGATCCTGCGTAGGGTGGTTGAAAATTCGGTGGCCCTCGAAGACCGATGCTGGAGCAACGCTGGCCGGAGCCGGAGCCAGGTGGCGCAACTCTGTGACCTAGCTTAGTGGGGGCGTGAGGCCTGGTAGAGAGATCTGGGGGGCTGTTTGCGGGGGCAGTCTCAGTGGTCATCGGGGGTCGTAACTGAAGCAATGCTAGCCGGTGCTGGAGCAAGGTGGTGCAACTCTGTAACCTAGCCTGATGGGAGCATGAGGCCTGGGAGAGCTTCGGTTCGTGTTGAAAACAGCCATGCTGGTGGTGGTCGAAGGTGGATTGAATAGGTTTCACCTATCTGATTTGTGGTTGCGGGGCTTGTTGACACACATTTTCTGAATGTTTCTGAGTTTTTCTTTTGCTTCAAAAAAAAAAAAAAAAAAAAAAAAGGGTTTCCTGCCAAAAAAAAGAAAAAAGAAAAAGGGTAAGCCCCCCCAAAAAAAACAAAAAAAAGAGGTACTTCGGAATGGCCGGGAAAATTGGGTTGCTGGCCGCAGCCTAGCCTGAGGGACTGAATGCACTCATGGAGGCATTATTGGCGTACTCAAAACAACTCTAAACCACCAGTACGTTTCCCAGCCATTTTGCAGAAACGTGCAGTCGCATGCAACCCGTTTTGCCTGGATGGATTTCGGGCGAAACGGCACCCCAGTGCATACCGCTATACGCACCAGCATGTACGGCGAGTTTCTTCAAACTGGCTGGGAAACGTACTGGTGGTTTAAAGCACCAGGACATGCCAGCTATCAGCCACGGGCCTGTTTAGGAGGCCGCCCACCGATGATTCATTTTATCTACGGCGCTCGGCCTCCTAAATGTCCGGAGAGGCTCAAAACAGGTTCTCCAGTTGCCTGGGGCCATGTGCTGGTGGTTAAAGTGAAGAAAATGGAGGAAAGTCTTAGTCAGAGTAGATGATGAAGTAGATCCACCAAAGAAAACCAGTCTGCAGGACTCTGAGGTGGATTCAGCTTTATGAGGGGTCAATGACATTGATCAAGGGCGGAACTCGGGCATGTGGAAACTGGTGTCTGCAGAGGGAAAGGACTTAATCGGCGAGTAAGAGCAAGAGGAAACGATGATAACTTGGAAGGAGAGAATCTTCGTTCTTACGAGAGGAATGGAGAGAATCTTCCATTCTGAAGACAGGAATAGACGTCAGATGATCAAATAGACACTATTCTAACGAACCGACACTTTCTTTCTCTGACTGGCCCACTGAACCAGAAAGATGTGGGTGCGTGGACATTTCTTTTGCCGCCAAAAACATTTTTTGCTATGCAAAACGCGTTTTCTTCTTATTTTAAAAATATTATGCTCCGAAAGATTCGCAGTCAATCTATGTCTGTGATCTGTTTCAGTGGGGAAATCTCCAAAATTGGGTGCACTTGACATTACGCGAAAAGCCGCTGACCGCTGCCGCCCAGCGCTATTGCACCCTCCCAAACACCCTGCGGCCACCAGATTGTGCAGAGTTGCACATGTTTGATGCGTAGAGGGCAGTGGTGGCTTAAACCACGACTACACTGTTCGTTTTTCTTGTCCACAAGTACTGGGCCAAACTCTACCATGCCCAAGCCCGGTGGAGGTTCGGTGGGAAAGGGTACCACAATTATTTTTCCTCATGGCGACACCGTAGATTCAAGGCTTGGGGAAATGCAACTGAAAGGCTTTCCACGATGCAGACCCCAAATTCGAATCTCAGGGTCGAAGTCTCAGGCCAAAAGAGGCCAAGTCGGCCAGTTCAGAAAGGTCACGGTCGGGTACCCTAGGAGTTAAGTCCAACAGGCACCTGGTGAACAGACACATCCCATAGGCAAAAGGCACATCCCGCAGTCAAGAGTCGTGTCCCACAGGCAAGAGTCACATCTCACAGTCAAAAGTCTTATTCCATGGGCAAGAATCACGACCAACAGGCAAAAGTCACGTCCCCCAGACCCAAAGCAGCAGCACGCCAAGAAAAATCCAAAAGGGTACTGGCCCTCACATTCTGAAGCAAACAGGCCGGTGGCATGTGGTTCCGGGTCCAAGTCAAGCCAAGAGAAGTCCAGGCTGGGCCGAGTCAAGACCCAGTCCAGGTCAATATAAGGACTGGCCAGCCACATTTCAGACAGATTGTTCATTCGTGAGAAGGGCGAAGTGCTGCTGAAGCGCTTGTGCGCTATCTGCGAGTGCTAGAGCCCTGGCTGGGCAGCGTTGCGCTGTGAGAGGAAGGAAGCCATACCCGCACAGCTAGTAGTAGGGATAGAGCTGACTCAGCTGAGTAGTAGCGGATGTATTCAGAGTCAAGATCTTCAAGGAAAGAGAGAGAGAGAGAGAGAGAGAGAGAGAGAGAGAGAGAGAGAGAGAGAGAGAGAGAGAGAGAGAGAGAGAGAGAGAGAGNGAGAGAGAGAGAGAGAGAGAGAGAGAGAGAGAGAGAGAGAGAGAGAGAGAGAGAGAGAGAGAGAGAGAGAGAGAGAGAGAGAAGTGAGACAGGGGTAGAGGGAGAGAGTGAGAGTCACCTACCTTTGAAGAGGATGCTGGATATGGGTTGCTGAACTCTGCGCCGATGAGTGGTGGTGACTGGAACTTTGAAACTGTTTAATTATTTAATATGATAATTCGTTGGAATTTCTAAGCTGCATTATCAGGACTTTGCATCTCTGGTCTCCAGTGTGGATTTCGTGTGAACTCTCCATGTGTGTGTGCTCAAGGTGTCGAGCAGTGAGGCTCAACGCACAGCTTTTAGTTTGTCGAAATAGGTCCGGATGGAGTGGTGGTTTAAGGCATAGAGGGATTGGCAGGTATCTTCTAGTCTTGAAGGGCTTGACAGGCCGCCATTTGGTAGACTGAGAGGAGCAGGTCAGCTTTATTTCTTGGCTTGGTTTTTGGGAAGGGTATGAGATACTAAGGGCCTAATTGCACCACTTGCCATTCGCCAACATTTTGAATGCATCAAGACAAACTCCATGTTCATATTCATTCAAAATGTTGGCGGATGCCTACCGGTAGTGGTGCAACTAGGCACTAAGGGAGGCGCTTGAATAGTTGCATGGGTGGTCATCATCAATGTATTTCTCGGACTTGCCGGTGGAACAGGAACTGGACCAATGCTCCCCAGAATAGCGGCTTCGCTCCTTCGTGGTAAAAAATCTCTAAACACACGCAGCCAGGCATGATTTCAAAGGCGCGAAGCACTATGATAAGGGCCTCGTTCGACGCTCCTAAGAGCGTCCTCAGAGCCCGAGGATGAATCCTTGGGAAAATCTAGGGTTTTCATTGTCTTTGTTCCTCGGAGCGTTGGTTGGCTTTAGGACTAATCCTAAGAGTGATGTCAGGAAAAGAAAAAGGAAAAAAAAAAGAAAAACAGTTTTGCTTCAGGCTTTCAGCCAATAGGGTGTTGCCATGATCCAGATTCTCAGTTGTTCTGTACACCACTACTTGCATGCGCTCTCCGCTCCGTGAACCACGATCCCCGGGGACGACATGGCTGGGAAATCCTCGGAGCCCAAGGATTTGTCCTTGGGGTGTCTTCGCGTTTTCATTTCCTATTTTTTCATCTTCGAGGACGGGTGGAATGACGGCGAAACCCTTGGAATTGCGTGTCTAACGAGGCCCTAAGACCCTGTTTTCTTTTATGTATGAATTTTTGCAAATGTGAGACAGCACCTTGGCCTGATGTTGTTGGGTTCCAAAAGGTGCATGGCTGACGAACACCTGTGTGATAATGTGCTCATGGGTGACAAACTGAAAGTGCAGTGCATGGCTGACAAACACATGTGTGATAATGTGCTGTGCCCAACCTTGGCCTGAGGTTGGGTTCATTCTCTGCAGGGTAGTAGCCCATGTGGTGTCCGAACCGTTACTGTGGAAGGCCTACCTTGTATTGCCGTACATCTGTTTTTCCCGCGTGCGATGCTTTTTTTCAGACTTTCTATAATTTGGCTGTTTTTGTTGGAATCAACATTGCAAGGCGGCCTGCTGGCTGCATTTCCGCATAAACCACGATTGACCTGGCGGGCAAGAAGGACACGTGTACACTCAACTGAAAGTTACAGGGCAGTGCACGAGCATCATCTTGAGGAACGAGGATGGGCCTGGCCAGGGGGATTCCTCCCTGACAGGGAGGGGCTTCCCCTGCCTCTGCATCATTCAAATGCGCTTCCCGCGCCTCGTTTGTCTGGGGTACCACGTAACTTGATCGCCATTCCTGAGGCATTTGGATATGGACGTGAAGCTGCAGGAGGACTCGCTGGCCGCCACATTTTTGTTACCAGTTATGCAGATGATGGAGTTGGGACACTCAGGGAAGCTTGTGCCCTTAGCGGACCCTATTACATCCACTTCCAGAGTAATGGTATGCTACCTCTTAACACCCTTCAATGAAAGCCTCGTTTTCTTCCTCCCCCTCTCTGTCAAAGGCTTACATTGAGGACAGACTGTGGCCTTTTGCCGTCAATTTGCAATGGACATGATTGAGTTTTTGGTCGTTCCCACTGTCCTACTTTTCTTCCGCCAGTGACTGCCTGCTCGTTCTCCTCCTACTGCTCCTCGTCCTCCTCCTACTGCTCCTCGTCCTCCTCCTCCTGCTACTTTTCTTCCACCTCCTCTTCCTCCTCCTCTCTCTCTCTCTTTCCTGCTCCCGGGAGTTGTGTGTTGTTGTATGTTGCTGGGCCAGCACTTTCCAGACATTTTCAACGGCCTCTCTCTCTCTCTCTCTCTCTCTCTCTCTCTCTCTCTCTCTCTCTCTCTCTCTCTCTCTCTCTCTCTCT